CACCATTATCAGCGTACTGGCGAACACTGTCACTAGCGTGTCCAATTTTGATGATCTGCTCCATTTCGCGATCGCTGATCTGAGGAGCAGGTAGGATCAACTTGCTTCTTTTCTTTTCCTTCGTTTTGAAAATCGATTCTGGCTCATCCTCAGGCCTAAAACAACATCTTTTAATAGAAAATAAAAGCAAGATGATGCTAACTTTTTTCTCTTGAGCTTCTCTCTATCCTGTTTTCGCAGTTCATTCTCCACCTCCATCCTTCTCGGCTTCTGATGATCCGCAATAGCCTGAAATATTGAAATTATGCAATCTGCAAGCTCACCGCTATGTGAACTTACCCTCTGATGTAAATCGTCCTTATCGAAACGGTCTTCTGTTGGGTCGTGGAAACCAGCGGGAACTGCTTTTTCAAAGGGTATCTAAAAAAATTAAATCGTCAGTGAATGGAACAGTACTTGTTTGACATTAGAGAGTTATAGAAACGTGAATGAACGGCTAAAAAATTTTTACTGACCTCTCCACTGTAGTCAATGGCGTTTTTCTTCAGTCTTTTGAATCGTCGAACAAGCAATCCTGCTTCTCGCATTTCACGACGCTTTTGAAGTGAAGCCAAACGACGAGCCTCCGACAACTGCCGTTCACGAGCCTAAATGACCATCCAGTTACTTAGTTCAAATGTTTGATCGAAAAATAGACTTCATTCTGATCAGCGTATCATGCACTAGAAATTTCAATATAAAATTCACGTATTCTGGTCGAGGAGAGAATGGGTACGAAACTGGTGTGTAGTATAAGAATTCAAAGATTATACTAAATGAAAACAACAAAGCATACCTTTCTCTTTGCTTTCTTTCCTTGTGTGTTCGCAAGCCTGGCACGAGCTTCGGAAAGCATTTCCAGCTCTAAAAGACGAATAAATGTTCGCTACTTGGAAAGTGTATATACCGACCCGAATGCCACATCATAAATTATCTAAATATGCTAACCATCATCATCCATATCGACTGGATCCGGGCGAGCAGGCTTTGTCTCTGGTGTGGGATCAATCTCACCAGGTTTCAGCCTTTTAGCTTCCGTCGCTTCAT